GTTAGCAAATGGCTCAAGGCCCGTTGGAGCCAGAGAGTACTTAACACAGCATGCAGCATATATATATATGTACATGTATATAGATGTATATATATATATATACATACATACGCGCACACGATATCTTCTTGCCTGCAGTGCGCTCCCTTCATGTACCAACACTGCCATTCATAGCCTATCTATGAGGCACCCTCACTGAAATCATGGTTAGCATGGGCATGGGAATTGTAATTCGATGGAGGCTGCGCAGGGGAACAGGCTGAAGTAGAATGCGGGGTCCGACCACCACCAAGCAGAGGTGTTGTCAAGAAACTGATGATGGTAGTTCGATGGTTTCAAGATGTTTCAAATAGTTTCCCCGAGACAGGGTGGTTGCGCCATGTCATGCAGCAAACATGTTTTGTTTGTGCACCAAATGCCCCAGATGTTTTTGACCATGGTGTGTGCAACAAAGTCTTTCTTTTGGACTTCCCTAGATTAGACCTTGCGTAAGGCTAGAAGTAGTAGATTATAGTGGGAAACAGGTTTTGCATCGTTGTATTTAGACTCTGCTTGGTCGGCTCGGATTCCAGCTTAGATTCCAGCGACATAGTGGTCTTACGTCTCTCCAGGCTTCGTGATTTTGGCAATTCGTATTGCGATTCTATGGGTTGCTCTTGGGTTTGCTACACGTCGCTACACTTGCATGTGCAGTGACTTAACGAATCGTAATCTTCGAATCATTTTGCATGGCCATGTTTGTGAGCACCGGGGAGGTAAGAACCCACAGCTGAACATTCTGAAACTTCGACGGCGTGACCTTCGCAGTGGCCGTGACAGAAGCAGAAAATCGAGTAGGGACATATAGAAGTCAACACCGGATCTTGGAGGAGATGGCAACTGCAAGCCTCCATCCTCATGTTTTATAGACAAACCATTGGTCAGGAGTAGTCGGAGTTAGTCGGACAATCATCAATGGTTCCCGATTTCATTGATCTGGACCTTGCAGATGTTTGACCCTACTCCCTACCTTTCCAAACATTCCCTTCCATATGTTGACCCACATGTTCAATCTGCTTCAATTTGGAAGTGACAAATGTCAGCTTTTACTACAGGAAACGGTCTGAATCCAATGCTACGACATTGTGATTTGCTTACGGAGTGAAAACTGTCTAAGAATTTCCTGGGTATCACTTTGCAGGGGTCAAAGGGGTCTGGGGCCAAAGAAGTATGGCCATGGATGCTGAAAGCGCAGATGGCAGCTAAAGACGGATAATCGATGATCATCAAACAATACCAAGCCTGTGAACTCAAAGGGCCTTTGTTCCCCAGTATAGCGATAGCATGTGGGGTTGTACACTCCAACGGGCGGTCGGGTGCCGTCGGGTCACCGACGACCGCTGCGGGTGTGTCGGGCTCGTGGTGTTCCAGTGGTAGTATTTCAGTGTCCAGGTACCGGGGTGGGGGCTTCAGTCGCATCTTCTTGCTCGCATCTGGAGTGGCGCTCACCATGCACCGTGCAAAACACAGTTTTACTTGTACCGTATGGTTCGCCAATTGTACTAAGTCATGGATATCCGGTCGGAATCAAGGAAGAAAGTAAATTCTGACTTTGCACGCGCTGTTTCTTGGATTTCTGCCAATGGTGGTGGTGGTGATTGTGGTGCTGGTGCTGCTGCTGCTGCTGCTGGTGGTTGTTGGCGGTGTTTTTTCTCCCCGCAGGGACGGGTAGATTCAAAAGCAGCGAACCTGCCGGGTCTGTTGCTGTCTTGCTGTGTCATGTTTTCCAGTTTTCCTTCGAAAGATGGAGTCAAATCATCCACCCAAGACTTGCATGCGGCAGCAGATTGCAAGTCCAATTTCCTTTCGCTATTCGGGTTGTTTGTCGCGATAATTTTGAGCACAATCAAATACAATCAATCTCAGTGCCATTCCTGTTTCAGAGGATGATTTTTCTGAGGCTTTTCGCCAAGTTGGCGACCCTTCCATCAGGAGGCGGCTCTATAAGTTAAACCGTTGTGATTCTTTCACCAACATCTCCTTGTGACAGGCGACCGTAGCTCCATGGGAGGCTTGAAAGTGTTGGTTCGTTGCTTACAAGCGGGGATCTGAGCTTGGCCAGGGCAAGCCATGCCACAAGAGGCCAATGATTCTAATGATCTAGGATTCAAGGACTAACATACTGTGACCCACTCTTCCGCTAGATTCAGTTGAAATGCGTTGCACTCTTTCTGAATCCTGTATTGCATACACAGGGTACTAAATGTTTCAGGCATGGGGCATTCAACATGCTGACCAACTCCCGCAAGAGGTGCGGTTGGCTTTGCCGACTTTCCGCACCTTGTCTTTGTCAGCTTTGATCTCTTGTCCAACATCCATCAGCATCCTCCACTGGCACATGGGTGTGCCTGAAACTGCAGTATAGCCACCAAATAGCCATTGAACATGGGACAACTACGGTGATAATCCTGTGGCATATTTGGAATTGGGGTACCACATTTTCAGACAACCCCATATTCCCATGTCGTTGACTGTGTTGACTGCTGGATCTTTGCTGCAGTTGCGCGATCTTTTGGTAGCCTCGGTTCTGCGGGATCTGCTGCTACCTGGGCCATGGGCAAGGGGAACCCAGAGATCCAAAACCTGGCTGTGAGACTTTGATATATCGGTTGCGCTGAGTTAAGCTAGTACTTAATTTTCATGTCAATCTATGTAAGCTATCTTTGGATACCGTTGGAAAATCTTGGAATCTTTGATTTTTTTGAGTACAGTGTGTTTCAGTGACCCGCCACAAGCGTATTCTCGAAGCTTGCGTTAGGCCTTGGCTGCGGTGGCATTGGGAGCCTTGCCTGGCTTGCTGTGCGTCCAGGTGGAGCCGCATGATCGGTTTAAAAAAACGGAAAATCTATTGAATCCATTTAATGAATTGTGAAACTTTTCAAACTTTTCTTCAAATATTCAAACTTTTCAAATTTTCAACTTGCTCAAAAATTCAAACAACATCAATCTTTTCAAACTTTTCAAATTTTCAGATTTTTTTCAAACTTTGCAATTTTTTCAATATTTCAGTCTTTTCAACTTTTCAAACTTTTCACATTTTCAAACTTTTCAAACTTTTCACATTTTTCAAACTTGCCAAACTTTCCAATTTTTCAAATTTTTGAACGTTTTCAAACTTTTCAAACTTTCAAAATTTTCATATGTTTCAAAATTTCAAACTTTTCAAAATTTTGAAAACTTTGCAAACTTTTTAAGTTTTCAAACTTTTCAAACTATGCACACTTTTCAAGCTTTTCAAAATTTTCAATCCTTTCAAACTTTTCAAATTTGTCAAAAGTTCAATTCGTTCAATTTTTTTAAACTTTTCAAAAATCAAAGTTTCAAACTTTTCAAACTTGCAAAATTTCGAAACTTTTCAAAATTTCGAACTTTCCAAACTTGTCAAACTTTTCAAATTTTCCAAATTTCCAAATTTCATTCTTTCAAAAATTTCATACTTTTCAAATAATCAAATTTTCGAACTTTTCAAAGTTTCAAACTTTCTTTCCAAATTATTCAAACTTTTTAGATTTTGAAAACTTTTCAAACTTGTAAAATTTTTCAAAACTTCAAATTTTCAATATTTCAAAATTTTCAATCTTTTCAAAGTCTTCAATTTTTCAGACTTTTCAAACTTCACACTTTTCAAACTTATCAAACTTTTCAAAAATTTCAACTTTTTCAAACCACTCGTTTCAAAGCACTTCAGCTCCATTTCGGCTCCACTGTAGGCAGAAAAAGTGCTCGAAGTTGCAGATGATGGGAGCCGTGATGAAGCCATCGAGCTCATGGCCAAAGGCAACTTAGTGCGGTATCTGTCGTTTCGCGACCTTTGTTGCAGACCTGACCAGGTTTTGAAAAGGAAGCGAAGTGCTTTCTGGTGCGTCTCCGACAAGCTGGGCGCATAGGGACCTGTTGAGACCTGACCGCTTCGAAGCTGCTTCGTTTGTTCGTTGACTTGTGGAATTTTAGTAGTTTTGGCTGCCATTGGCTTGCCCAAGTCAAGAGTTCACCTGCAGGAGAAGGGTCGATTGAAGGCAGCGGCCAAAGCGGTCCAGGCGTACTCATTTTCCCAGCTGTGTCAGGTTCAGACCTTACCAGCAACTGGTAAGCGCAAGTGGAGGAGAAACATTGAACAACATTGAAATTATGTGTTTTTTAATGACATGCATATCATGACATCAACAAATCCATAGACTGTGGGTGCTACAGCTGCAAGACATTGTGTATGAACTGGCACACGCACACACACACACTGGAGATTCGGGGCTGTTAATAGACCTTGTGCTCGCCTTGAGGATTCCTGAGTTATTGCGTCCTTAAATGCGCATGATTCCGCACGCTGGGTTTGTGGCTTCGCCCAGTTGCCATAAATGACAAAACTAGACGACGGATGGCCCGAGAGCGTAGAGGAGCAGAGTCTTCTGTTGTTAGTATGGAGAGACTATATTACAAGACAATACATTAAAGATGTAGTATAGGCAGACGAGAAAAGTAGTATCAAGACAATATATTACAAGTACAATAGTTTGCATCGTATCTTTCGTATAGTTGTTCACACATAGAACTTTTTACAGACAGAGGCTTTTGCAGACAGGGACTTTTACACACAAACGCTTTTGCGTACAGATGCTTTTACACACAGACGCTTTTACACACAGACGCTTTTACACAAAGACGCGTTTACACACAGAAGCTTTTACACCAAGAAGCTTGCGCACACACACGCACAGAAGCTTTTACACACGGAAGCTTTTACACACAGACGCTTTTAAACACAGACACTTTTACACACAGACGCTTTTAGACACAAACGTCTTTACACACAGACGCTTTTACACGCAGACACGTTTACACGGAAACACCTTGACACACATACGCTTTTACACAGAGACACTTTTACACACAGACGCTTTTACACAGAGAAGCTTTTACACACAGAAGCTTTTACACACAAACGCTTCCACACACAGAAGCTTTTACACACAGAAGAGAATGCGTGCAATCGAACATTTAACCACAGTTTTTGACGATCAAACATCATTTCGTGCGAAAGGGTCGCCGGACGCTTTGCAAATTGCAATTTTACCCCAGTTTTTGGCGATCGAACCTCATTTCGTGCGAAAGGGTTGCGCCCGGACAAGAGAAATCGCAATTTTACCCCAGTTTTTGGCGATCGAACCTCATTTCGTGCGAAAGGGTTGCGACGGGAACCCGCAAATCGCAATTTTACCTCATGCAGTTTTTGGCGATCGAACTTCATTTCGTGCGAAAGGGTTGCGACGGGAACCCGCAAATCGCAATTTTACCTCAGGCAGTTTTTGGCGATCGAACTTCATTTCGTGCGAAAGGGCTGCGGCCGGACAAGAGAAATCGCAATTTTACCGCAGTTGTTGTCGATCGAACTTCATTTCGTGCGAAAGGGTTGCGTTTCGTGCCGTCTCGTTGGCATTGCTTCGCGCCTTCAAGAGAGAAATAGAAAAGAAGGAGAGAGCAAGAGGGCAAGAGAGCATGAGGGCAAGAGAGCAAGAGGGCAAGAGAGAATGTGAAGATGTGAGGATGTAAAGATGTGAAGATGAGAAGATGTGAAGATTAGAAGTTGAGAAGATGAGCAGATGTGAAGATGAGAAGATGTGAGGATGTGAAGATGTGAAGATGTGAAGATGAACAGATGTGAAGATGTGAAGATGAACAGATGTGAAGATGAGAAGATGTGAAGATGTGAAGATGAACAGATGTGAAGATGAGAAGATGTGAAGATGAGAAGATGTGAAGATGAGAAGATGTGAAGATGAGAAGACGTGAAGATTTGAAGATGTTATGTGAAAATGTTTGACAGACCCCCACTATTACAAGAACCCTTCGCTCAGACGCTCTCGGGAAAAATCGTAACGTATAATCGAAACCAACAGCAATGTGAAAGAAGGATCACAGGATTCATTGACACAGAAAAACAGTGTTAGAACATGTTTGCAGGTACACATCCATGGCCAGTGGATGCTTCCCTCTCTGATGCGTAGCTTCGTTGGACGGAGTAGCATCAGAGAGCTCGGTCCCCCTGCATTTCACGAATTAACAGTTGACCTGTTACTGCCTGTTTGTTATAGCAGGATACACACACACACAGGCCCCTTGCGGGGCAATATTTTTCAACAAAGCGCAATAGATCGCTCAAAAGAAATGGACGGTGAAACGCACTCAGCAATTTCCCAACGTCGAATTTGAGTCTGTTTGTGACTAGTTTTTCATCAGTACTGGCCAATAATCCTAGAAAATCGTGAATCTGAGCTTGTTGCAATTCATGAGGGAATACATGTATCAAAATGAGGCGAATTCGTGCCAACACTCAAGATCGAATGGCTTGCGAAGTACCTGAGCTCCGGACAATCCTCTGTGTCTTGCTCCAAGGTTGGATAAATGTGTTGCGATGTGGTTCACCCATATTGCGAGATAATCGATGTAAAAGAAGGACATATTCAGTGTCAGTTTGAGTGGAGCGTAAGAACTTAGAACAATCAAACCTCCGTTGGGAGTTAGATCCCAACGCGTACAAAATTTGTAAATCTTGATGTTGTTGTCCAGTTGTTGACTCAAAGTGCAACTCAATTGTCCCCTGCGTCTTTTTCTGTATTTTCTGACCATCTTCCGTCCATGTATACAGCCTGGAGCTGTCAACTTGGCTCCAAAAAGTTGTTTTCCTTTTTCCATTTTTTGAGAACAGGGTTAATCCAAGGCCAGGTGTAGACAGGACAAAAGGTCTGCTGAAACAATTGTTCCATTGTCAGCAAAGTGGTTCCATCATTTGGGTGAATCCATACTAGGATTACTAGGAAAATACAAAATTCAAAGATATTTTGCCGTCTGTGCCACATTTTTGAAGCTGGTTCGTAACATGCAACTTGATTGGCTGGAAGTTGGCGATACTTGCGGATTCTCGATTGTTGGCGATCAAAAACTGAGTGTTCTGTACTCCCAATGTAGAAATCTCCACACCAATGATATCGACAGTAGACCACTCTAGTGGTATTTCACCACTCACAGGAAAATTTCTGAGGCACTGACGTCACGCGAAAAATTCTGAGGAGCCGACGAAACTTGTGAGTAGAAGTCATTTTTAAATCAAACATGTGTGATCATCCATTGACTCTGAGTCCACATCAATTGTTGCTGTACATGCCAATTAAGTGATACGGAAAACTGCAGAAGGTATGATGTCCACTGGAATCCTTTCAGTAACAGTCGTCGACAGATTTTCTGTAAAGGAGCAGGTTACGTTTGTTTGAATTCACGAAAAGCACACAGCTGCCCATCCTCATTGGTATAACCTACGCTGTTTGTGTCGCGGACTAGTCAGTTTTTTATGTGCCGGACAGCCGCCAGCAATCGGATCTGAGAGTCCACACTTGCTTTGTTCCAAATCTGCTTAGTCAATCCCCATTCCGTCAAAATGGCTTCAAGGTTCGGCTTGTCCCCCACAACCAAACTGTCATGTTCTGTCTTTAGAATGGAAAAGTCGTTTCTATTTCTGACTGTTTGGCTTTGGGAACATTCTTTTTGATCTACCTTTGCCCTCCCATATCCCTCTGGAGGATGTGTCCCGAAAAAGGCTGGTTTTTCTGCTGGTCGTTGAAGCTCATCAAATACCTTTGGCTCTGGATTTTCAGATAAAGAACCTGTAGCCTTTGCTTTTGGAAAATATTGGAAAATATTAAGTGAGCCCACCACCTGAGGTTCCCACGTTTGGAGGGTAGGCGTATAGATCCCATAGGCTGAGCTCCCGGCTGGTTTGATGCTTTGAGCTGGACATTCTTTTGGATCTTGAATCTGCCATGATGTCGGTAGGGTTGGGTCCGGTCTGGAACTATTGTTTGATCTAAAAGGATACCACCAAGGGAAAAATATTCAGCAACATGCATGAAGATGTCATTGTTTGTTGCAATGGTTTCTCAGCTTCAGTACTTTCACATCAAAACTCGCTGCTCTTCTCACTCATCAAATCTCCATGTAATTCCGAGTCGTCATACATCGAGATTCCTCCTTGTCCACACAATTCAGATCGAATAGAACTCAATAAACAAATCCAAAAAAGGTGTACAGATACCCTCTAGATATTTACTATCATATACTGCGTTCCTCCTATCGCGATGTTTCATGCAAGGATCTACCACACTACCGCATTACTCCTTGGCAAAAAGGAAAGGAAACTGACCCAGGAAGTGGAAGGGACACGGAAGTCCGTGATGAGCGCGAGACGTGTGGAAGATTTCCTCCTGTCTCCTTTAGAGCGATACGCTATCTAGAAAATTGGAACTACGGGAGAAAAAGCAAGCTTGCTCTGAAAAGTCCTCTGCAAATTTGCACATCATCACAGATGATCCAAAGAAATCGGCCAAACACTGTAAGCAGTCATTTTCATGTCCACTCTCATGCCATAGAGTCTGTAGTCTAGTTACAGAATGCTGCCACGCCCATAGATGGGATTGAAATGACCACCGTTTGTCTCGGGTACTATGTAATGCATCAAGAAATTGAAGACACCCATGATCTGCAGTGGTTCCTCCCTGATTGATGGCTACGTGAGAAGTCTGACGACTCACCGCCTTGGCTTTAGCCAAAGCTTCATTCAATGCTTGCGAAAAAGAGCTCTCGTCATGTGTTTGACAGATTGCTGCTCGACAGTAAAAACCAGGGGTATAAATCCAATTTGGCAGTTCTGTAGCACTAGGTCGTACCAGACCTTCTCTCAATATATCACCGGCAGCAAATCCTGAACAATTGTGTGCAAATGCATATTTGGCTCGGATCTGAAGAGTATGTCTGTCAACTTGTGGAGTCTCCAGCGGCAATTTGTCCCCGAGAATCTTGCCCCCTTTCTTGATGACTGACACAATCCACAAACATATTGTGGAGATCTAGGTGGCATTGAAGCGTCTTACTGAGCTCCAAGCAGGTCTGCACTAACTGTGGTGTCACCACCGCCTCTTTGGAAATCTGTTCTGTCAAAAAGTTCGTAAATTCCCCAGCTGCAATTTCCAACTGTGATCCTTGCAGGTATTTGGTAGGGACGAAGTACTGTGGATTCGGAATGTACCTTTGTTGATGTTCTACCACTCGTCCATTCTCCAGAGAGTTTTTAATACGATCCGTTGATGCTTGAAGGTCTGTTCCCAGTCGTTTGAGCATCAAAGTATATATTTGACTCCAATCCGAATTTTGAGGAGAGTGAATATTGGCAACTACATAGCGTACTACACATGAAACAGGCAATGATTGGGCGCACAAGCAGTTCAGGAAATTTGGGATGTGGAACTTCCAAAGTGTATTCACCGGCAATCCGAAAGCAAATTGGAGGAGTTGGGTACGATTGAATTTTGTAGTACACCTGCGAACTGATTGACCATGATAGTCATGGTCCATTGTAGCACCATCCCTGTCAGTGGAACTCTGAGGTTCATGCGCAGATCTCCCGACTCCAGGTACCGAATGAGCAGGTTCAGAAGTAAGGTTCCCCGCCAGTTCTGACGTAGAAGATCGTTTTTGATGTTTGTTCAGAGATTCCACAACTGTCTCTGAATGCTCCGTATGACCCACATGGTCCATTGGTACAGTCAAAGGTCTTTGCATCATCATCCGCATCATCATCCGCATCATCATCATGTTCATCTCTGACTGTGAAGTTTGTTGCCATTGAGAAGACAATTGCTGGAACATCATCTGCTGTTGAAACTGCATAGTGGATTGTCGCTGTTCCGCTTCGATCAACTGAGACACAATGGGCGCTAGCTGTTGTGGATCGGAAGCTTCAAATGAATATTGTCCCACGTGGCCACAAATTTGAATTCTAATGGGTTCAGGAGCACTGGTTTTCGGATACACTTGGTCAGATTGAGGATGAAGTGGCGCAGGTGCAAGTGGACGTGGTACAGGAGGAGGAGAATTTGAGAGTGAAACGCCAGGAGGCAAAAAGGCTTAATGTGAAGGCAACGGTGGACCTCCACCACTCTTTGACGTCATGGCTCTTCTTGAATTCGATGCAGGACGAGTGAAACAATTCAGATGTGTGTACCTAGATAAAATGTAAGTGTACTATAACCTGAGTTTGGGACCTTGACCACTGTCAAGTGTAGTTTGTAGCTTTAATTCCTATTGGACTTCTGCATATGCTTCTTCGCTCTGTTGAGCTGCTTCGCCATGTGGCTACTTCGCCATGTGGCTGCTGGTTTCTTGTTCCACACGAGGTGGAATGCCTTTGTCTTAGAAGACTGCTTTTGCTATACTCAAAGTATGGACGGCTTCAAGTCGTGAAATTCACGGCTCACTCTGAATACGGGAAAATGCCCGCTCATGGCTATTCGGTCGATCGAAATCAACCGTCGGCATGACCAAGTGAGGTCAAATGCCCATGACACACTGGAGATTGGGCGGTTGTGTGGAGGTACTGTTAATAGACCTTGTGCTCGCCTTGAGGATCCCGCAGTTCTTGTGTCCTTAATGCGCATGATTCCACACGCTGGGTTTGTGGCTTAGCCCAGTTGCCATAAATGACAAGCAATTCAGCAATTCGTATGATCGAAACCAACAGCAATGTGAAAGAAGGATCACAGGATTCATTAACACAGAAAAACATTGTTAGAACATGTTTGCAGGTACACATCCATGGGGAGTGGATGCTTCCCTCTCTGATGCGTAGCTTCGTTCGACAGAGTAGCATCAGAGAGCTCTGTACCCTTGCATTTCACGAATTAACAGTTGACCTGTTACTGCCTGTTTGTTATAACAGGATACACACACACACACATTGCGCATCGTTGCGCTGCGACTGGCCACGTTGCAGGCTCTTGCTCTTCAAGAAGACTTCCCAGATGCAGATTTCCTGTGGAAGCAAGAGGCGCCCAAATCGAGGGCCAAATGATGCAAGAAATTCAGTTTCCATACCAAGGAGCTTTCAGCCAATAGATGCCAATAGATGTCCAAAAGTACACACAGTGTCGAAACTCTTCGGAGGCTCTTGAGGCGGCCATTTGCAAAGGCAGCGAACTTTTGAACTAACAAGGGATTGGATGCGAAACGATGCGAAACGTATCAGGAATGTACCAGAAACGTACCAGGAATGACATTTCGCTGTGGCACTTTTCGAGGCCGAAAAGAGGCTTTGGTGGGTTTGAGTTGCCAGGACAGGTCCCAGAATGTTAGACGGTTTACTATGATCCGCACAGGAAAAATATTTTTGATCCACACAAATAATATATATATATATATTACTTATTTATATGTTTGAACATTTGAACAGATAAATCAATTTTCAAACATTTTGATTTTTAACATCTACATAAAATGATTTTTAAGTACTGTGAATATATTTAATATATATGTATACAGACACACATATATGTATATATATATATGTGAATAACATGTATATGTATATATATATATATACGTACATATGTTTATCACAAAAGACAACGTATAACATAATATTATAAGACATAAACATCGTATTGTATAATACAATATAATCCAATATGATATTTAATATGATGTAATATGATATTTAACTTAAAATTTTCAAAGACAGGATAAGGGATAATATAATATAATACATCCTATCATTTAATATGATATAATATTATATAATATCAGATAATAAATAGAATAAATGATATAACATAATTTAACATAATATAACATAATAGTAGCCACTAATATATTATATAATCAAATATGCACGATCTTTTAAAATAATATGATAAAAAGTAAAATGGTTTAATATGCTATATGGTTAATATGATTCAATTTAATACAACATAGTAAAACATAATATATTCCAATATAATTCTATATAGAATAGCATAGGATAGTAAAGTATAGTATAGGATAGTATGGAAACCTAAAATAGCATAATTTCCAATACTATAAAATAAAATGATTTGATTTCATGAAACACAATATAACATAACATAATATACTTTGATATAATACACTTGAATTTAATTTACTATAATTATAACATAATATACTTTAATATAACATAATTCAGTATAACATTATATATTATGATATAATGTAATACAATATAATATAATATAATGTAGTAGAATACAAATGATGCGGTTTGAAATTAAATTATGATTTAGAATAACATGATTGAATATAATTTGATGCAATGCAATATAGTATAATAATATAATATAATGTAACATAATTTAATTTGATACATTTCGGTAAAATATAAATTGTTTCATGTTTTAAAGCATGATATCACATAATGTGATATAGCATAATGTAATATTATATAGTATATAGTATGACAGGTATAATTTGATTTGATACGATATAACATAATATAATAAAATATAATGTAATGTAATATAATATTTTGTTGCATTGTATGATATGATATGATATGATATGATATGATATAATATTCGATAATTTGATAATATGATATAATATTCGATAACATGACAATATGATATAATATTACATGGTAAACATATATTTGTAGACCTGGATTTAGATATAAATATAAATATATATAGTCTACAGTCTAAAGCGGGAAAAACCAATTCTGCCCCTGTTAGGAGCCACGCTTGCACTCCAGATGTGTACATGGCCTTGTTGAATGCAACGAGGCGCTGCATTTGCCGTTTTTGTTAGAGCTTCAATGCGCCTGCAAAATGAGGGTGTTTGAATATTATTGAGAACTTTTCCAGATGCCTGTCTTCAATCAGAGTAGAAAGACAAGCGCAGGATTCGCCAAGAATTGTCGCACCATAATCGAGCGCCGAAGGTGGAGCTGGCCGTGGATTTGGCCATGGCTTGGAACATTGCGATTTCTATGGACTTGACTCAGCGATTGCAAGACGCCATAGCAAAGCGGGAGGTGCAGTGACGATTGCACACAAAGAACACTTTCAACTGAATGCATCCAATTGAATGCAGCTGCAGCCCCATACGCAATACCAATCAATACCGCATATTGCGATGCTCAGAAAATCTTTGTCCATCTTGTTCCAATCTTTCAACTTTACCTGTATTTGAACACATGATTTGTGACGTACCAGTAACTACATGTAACTACCATGGGAGGCTGAATCTTTGTGCCTCCCCGCAACAGTCTCTGTGATCTTTTTGGACCAAGAGGCAGTGTTTTCGGAGCTTTCGGTGCTTTTGGAGCTGGTGTTGGTCATGTTGGTCGTGTTGGTCGTGTAGCCGACCAGGCGCAAGTGGAACGGTTATCATCTCTCCTCTCAGCCGATGCTATTGGCTTCGACTTGGTGGGGGCTTCAAGATGCAATTTGAAAGATCACATTTGATACATTTGGATACGTTTGGATGTTCGAAAGGCCATCATTCCCAACTTTCCATCAAATCAGCCGACCTCCTTTGTTGGTAAATTAGGAATGCAACATGAGCACTTCTAAGCAAGCGGCTTATGGCTGGCGTCGTTCTCTGCTTTCTCTCCTTTCTGTGATTTGTGGAGGTACTTAGTGCAGGACAATTTGTCAATTTGGTGAAGTTTGGTTCCCTTGTTTCGTACTTAGGAGTCTATACCAATGCTTGTGTTGGCATTCTTTCTTTGAGGCCTACACTGTTTCAGCTTGGCTCGGTCCATGAAATCTTTCTGGTACCAAGCTCGGACGACTTATGACGGGTGGTGCTGTCGGCACAGCCTACCAAACAACCTCATGTTTGGATGCCACGCTTTTCTGGGATCCTAATCATGTACCAATCCTTTTTCTTTAAGGAATCAGTGTCTTCAACATTTTTCAAAATATTCTGAAGGAAAGGCAACAGCAACATCCACTGATCTGATTGCAAAGGTTGACCTCCTTGCTGTAGGAGAACTCCCTGCACTCGCAGCTGCATTGCAGGAGATTCTTTGCAGATGAAGCAATGAAGCGGCGAAGTTTTCAAGTGACCAATGGGAGCAAAGTGCTGCAACTCAATGGGGAGTACCAGATGTGCCAGGAAGTTTGGAGATCGAAGATGCCCAAAGTTGGCTTCGGAGGTGCAGAGGATATAGGCCGGACACTGCCTGTTCCATGGGATCGGATCGTTCCATTGGGGTCGGCAAATCGGATGCAGCATGATACAGCAATGTTTTGCACGTCGGACGTGCCCATGCTTGAGCAAACACAAAAAGGGGAAAACTGGTAGAACGTCATGGACACAAATGCTGTGGGTCCTGTTCGTTTTCGGAAATAGGCAGTTTGCAGCGGATCCTTTCGTAAGAACCGCTTTATGCGCTGAATTGCGCTGACATGTTTTGGCAGGTCGTGAGTGGTTAGAATGTGTTAGAACGTGTTAGAACATTTGAAAGGTTGCTGTGATTGAATACTTGGCATCGAAAGAAGTTGATTTTGTAGCGCAGCAGCTCGAGGCAAACTGGCAGGCACCTTCCCAGCTTTGGGCCTTGGTTCCCACAGTCTGGTGGACCTAAAGGATTTAGAGGCCAGATCCCTCGAATTGCTTGGAAATTGATTTTCACGACTTCGAAGAACAGGTTGAACAGATGTCAGCTACTACTGCCCAGGCGACATTGAGGGCACATCAGCAGGACACTGAAACTAGTTTTTTCATGTTTTTTCCACGACGGAAGAGAAAACAGCTGGAAGAGAGATGAAGCTGATGGATTGCTGACGAAGAGCTTGAGGTTGAATATTGGGAAGAAAAAGGCCGTGCAGGGCATTAGTTTGTCCAGCATTGCCGGCCACCCAGTACTCGTAGCAGAAACATTTGCGGCAAAACGTGCTCAATACTACTACGAGCAAATACGAACAGTTTGCATCACTTTTAAGTAGCCTTTCTACAGGCCGAGAAGTACTTGGGAAAACCGTTGGACAAGAGCTTCCAAGTGCGAAGCTCGGATACGATTGTATACGCATGTTCCATGTGCAGAGTTTTCTTCATGGTTTGTCGATCATTTTTTCCGACTCAGGTTGGGGATTGGAGTCGAAGACCGATTTCAAAGGCATT